GGGCAAGACTGACTTCCCAGAGGCCACAGGAGCCAGTGGAAATGAGCAGGTGGTCCATCTGGTCCTTAAACTGCCTTGGACACTACCAGCTACAACTGTTCTTAAAATGGAGTGGTGATCTGACATGGAGGGGGGACGAGAGGGAGATGCCCTGAGAAGGATGGAGAGCTGGTGTAAACAACGCTCCCTTGGCATCCTTTTTACTAATACTGAAACACGTAAATGTCAAAGATGATTGAGTTTCTAGAAAAGACACAAAAATGAATGAGGAGGCTTAAAATAAAATGCATTTTATTTGAATACTGAATACATTCTGTTAGGACACTGATGAGCTCAGAATGAAAGTCTTTCAATGAAAAAACTCCTGGCAATAATACAAACAAAATTCCTAATGTACTAAACTGACATACAACATTTCAACAGCCTGTGGTTCACTCCAGGAATCCCATTACCTGATGGGTTGTAGTTTATTTTATTTGAGCCATAAGTGTTTGGAATTGTCAGAAGCAGAAAACAGCAAGCCCCCAAATTCCACATACAAAATGACACACAAATGAGTATATAACTACTCATTAAAGACCAGGATTAACAAATAGAAACAGATAAAATTTGTGCTTTAAATAAAGGGGGCAAACAAATATTGCCAACTAGTTTTGAATATTAGGGTGACAACATCATTTTCATTCCAGTGTACGACATTTACCACCTATTGAAATCGATCTTTTAAACACAAGAACCTGTTCTGCCAGGTCCAGTAGAATGATGGGAGTTTGGCCCTTGGCTCGTCTAGGTGCTAAAGCCACAGCAGGACCAGTCTCAGGATCATCATGAGGCTGGATAAACAGAAGAGAAAGGGAGGGTCACTCTGATGGACAGGAAGGTCATGTGCTCCCTGTCATGTTCTTATGCTGTGGCCTCTGAGGGCTCTTTTAGCCCTCCATAGAGCAGGGGGCAGGGCATTAAGTTTTCTTGTGTTCTGACTTCTCAGATGCAACTTACAAACGTTCCCTGAACAGATAAGAGAAATACAACCCAGCTATTCTGAAAACCTTGGATAACGGATTAAGGGAGACAGATCAGGAGAAATGTAAACTTCCATAAGCTACCCAAGAAAAGCAACTGGAAAAAATAACCAAGGGTGCTGGAGAGATGGTTCAGCAGTTAAGAGCACTTGCTGCTCTTCCAGGGGACCAGAGCTCAGTTCCTGAATCCATGGCAGGTGCTTATAACAATAAATGATATGGAACTCCAGCTCCAAGGGGTCTGATGATGTCTTCTGACATCTGTAGGCACCTGCACACTCAAGGCATATACACAAATGTGGGTGCACTAGAAAGTCTACAGCAACAAAAGACCACCAAACTACTCAGGAGGCTTTAACTCAAGGCAAACGTACTCCTGATACTTTGAAGTAGTTCCTTCTTATCTTGCTTTTTGCCACAGACATCTTTAAACATTGGGTCAAACTGTATTTGATGTGTTTTTGAATTTTATTATGACATTATAAATTTCCAATGACACCAGCTGGTTTTTCCAGCATGATATGCAAATGCCTGTTTAATATCTCTTAAATAGATAAAATATTTACATTTATTTTCTGGACACCTTTAATTTTCTGGCTTATGTATTTTCTACTAGAAATACAGCCACTGTGAGCATTAGGCCTTGTGTACTTCTTTGAAATAATTTCTGAAAAATCAAAATGTGTTCCAAAGGAAGACAGTGTTTACGGCTTTCAACACTCAAGGGCAGCTTCCAGGAGGAACTGGAAACATTTTCTCTATATTTTACTTGATAATATGTTTAATTTCATAGGATCAGAGCTGGGGTGTAGCTCAGTGTCAGGGTGCTCGCCTGGCATGTGCAAGGCCCTGGGTTCAGTCCTCAGCATTGCAAGATAACAGTTACTAACTATCAACTAGGTGTGGGAATGAGAATTGTTCCTCCAGGCTCGTGTGTGAGTGAACACTTAGTCTCCAGCTGGTGGCGCTGTTTGGGACGGTGATGGCATCTTTAGGAGATGGAGCCTGGCTGGAGGAAGTATGTCACTCAGGTGTGGGCTTAATTACTTAAAAATCCATCTAAAGAAAGGAAGATTTACTTTGGCTTGTTTTCATATATTTCTGCCCCACGTTGGGTAGCTGTATTGCTCTGGGCATGAGCTGAGACAGGGTGTTAGGAATGGGATTATGTGAGCTAGAAGGCTTCTTAGCTGGTAGTAGTCAAGAAGCAGAGAGAGAGAGAGAGAGAGAGAGAGAGAGAGAGAGAGAGACCTTTGAAGCACATAATATCAACATAATTGACTTTTATACATAATTTTCTATAAGCAAAAAAAAATATTATCTCAAGGTAAGTAAACTCTGGGTAAGATAACAGACTAGAAGCCTCCTCTATATGACTCATTGAAGGAGAAGAGTTGGAACAGAAAATAAAAATAGCCTCTTTTCTAAAGAGAACCAGAGGAAGAACATTATAAATTTGTAAAGATGGTGACAAGACACCCAAAAAGTGCAGAGGAAAAGACCAGCACACACTGAAGTAAGCCAGGCCCACACTGCTCTAGACGCATGGTCCCAGGACAGCTGAAAGAAAGCAGAACCTCATCCAGACCTAAGCCCTGCAGCCCTGGGAAAAGCCCAGTGTCCTCACAAGTCTCAAACCCAGTTGTAGGTCCTGGTGGACACTGATTTTTCTGTCACAGTTGAAGACACCACAGACAGCCACAGAGAGGAACCCGAGTCCGTCCTTCTGTGACCTGGAGGCCAGTGAGCAGGTGCTGTCTTCAGAGGCAGTCTAGAGACGGGGACAGGGTCTGCCAGTTACAGGACAGAAGAGGAAGAGGGTGGCCTGGTCACAAGGACAGCAAAGGACCAGCTTCATGATGGGAAGACGGGAACAGAGGAGAACCAGGAAGGAGTCTATCATGTCCAACAGCACACAGCAAGCTCCCTGGTACTATCAGGGGGACAGAAGAGAATAGACAACCATCCAACCAATCAGAAAACAACCACAAATTTATAAGAATTAGGTCAGGTGCGATGGTGCATTCCTTTAATCCCAGCAATCAGGAAACAGAGGTAGGAGGATCTCTGTGAGTTTGGGTGGATCTCTGTGAGTTTGAGGTCAGCCTGGTCAACATAGTGAGCTCTGGGACAGCTAAGGCTACAAAGAGAGACCATGCCCAAAAAGAAAGAAACACACCTCACTGGTGAAGACACTCACAAAAGGAGAGTCAAATATCAAAATTAAATTAAGCAAACAAAAGCCCAAAATAAGCTGGTGTATTATTTTGATAGTGAACAAAATTGACCTTAAACAAAATTAGAAAATATAAAGAAGGTCACTACATAATAATAAGAGAACAATTCATGAAGAAGACATAGCAATTATAAATATTATACATACCAAAATTTGAGTTAGCAACTGCATAAAGCAAATATTAGTGAGCATAGAAGACCAGGCAGATCTGGATACAATAGCTGTGGTCGCCTTTAACAGCTCAATCTCATCTTTAGATGCGTCATCCAGCTCCAAATTGAACCAAGACACTTCAGATTTAAACCTCACCACAGATCAAATGGATTTACAAAGAAACTCAGAATATCCTGTCCTACACATGCAAAACACACATTCTTCGTTATAGCTTACAGTGCCATCTCCAAAATACTCCATATACCTGCCTATAATTAATCTTTTTAATGCTCTTATTTTTTAGACTGGGTATGGTGGCATACTCTTTTAATCCCATCTCTCAGGAGGCACAGACAGGCAGATCAATATGAGTTCAAGGTCAGCCTGTTCTACATAGTAAATTTCAGGCCATTCAGGGCTACATAGTGAGACCATTTCTAAAAAGCAAATACAACAAAATAAATATAAAAAAAATCTGCCTGTAACACAACGAAAGTTTGACTATGAAGTCCAGAAAGTTTAAATATGCATAACTGAAAAACTAATTAAGTATTTTATATCCTTATTGTTTTGTGGGGTTGGGTCTATTTGGTTTTAACAGGTCCCTTTCCTGGTACGCCAGTAGGCACTGGAGGTAGCCATTTTGTCCCATTTACCAGGGAGTTTCCTTGGACCCAACATTCCAGCTTTTTGTTGAGGACAAGGGATGACACACTCTTCTGTAAATACTTCCTGCTGGAACTAGAATGTCGTTGTCAGGGCCCAGGAAGGCTGGGATGTTAGTCAAAGACCGGGAAGGGGTTCAGGCAACGGGACATTCATCAGAAGCATCTGGTTAGCTGACCCAGCTGAAGGGAGTGAGCAATCACACCGGAAAATTACTCTCCCAGAGAGGAAGGTATTTATTCAGATCACGTTGTTGAAACAATGGAGGTATTCTAAGAAGGTTCTCATTTTATTTGGGGTAGGGAAAGTGTTCTGTGAGTCTGAGGGGAGAGAGAAGGCTGGGGTGAGGGTGGACATGGCAGGGTGGGAAGGAGAGCCAGGAGAACTCAGAGGCAAACATCTGGATGCCACTGCCTCTAATCCCTGTGACGCGCTGCTGGTGCTCCTGTGACTCTTCCAGGGATTGGTGAATCCCCTAGGACCAGATTAGACCTCCCAATTCTCAAGATACATTGACATTACTTCCCCAAATACCTTCACTGTGGAAGGAATAGGTCCAGCAAATGAATGTTACAAGATTTGATGTACATGATGTTAGATTAGTTTGTGTATTCTGGGGAATTCTGTTATTCCCCACACCACAGCATCCTGGAGCCTTCCTCAATACCTGGGCTGCTGCTGTGTAACAGAGAGCAGAGGGTTCGTCCTGGTTACTATTTTCAGTCTGGAGAGCAAAACTGGAGCGGCGTGAGAATTTACCAAGAGGCACGACTTCATGCCAACTTACAGTTCTTTTCTGGGAACTGATTTCCCTGGATTCGCAAGATTCAAAACGCTTTCCAACTCTGGCATTCTGTACCATTCCTCCCAGATGTCTAAGGCTAGTAGCCCTGGTCTCAACAGCATGAAAGCCGGATCTTGATGTCACACCTACCTACATCTGTCTGATCCTAGAGACAGTAAGCTGTAAGGGAAGTCGGGCTGTAAACCAGATCAACATGAATTCTTTGGAGATCCTACTTTATCTTTTAGAACGTCAGTTCCCTCCATTGAAAACAGAAACAATTTGTAGACAGCCTGTATGTACATTGCTTGGCTTCCTAAAAAACAACAACAAAAACCCAAAACTTCCTTCATTTGGAGATCCTAGCTAAAGGAAGGAGTTGCTGCACGCGTCGGTCCGGCCGGAAGGGGGCAGCCGACTCCAGCCCTGCGCTCCCGGGACCGAGGAAGCCCGCACGGACCAGCAAGTCTCCCGCAGATCCAGAGCTGCACCCCGCTTCCGGGCCTCCGAAAGCAGAAGGACGTGGGATCAGGGACGCAGCGTCCCACGAAGCGGCTCCGAAGAGGACGCCGTTCTCCCTGCTAAGGTGGGACCCGGTGCGGCGGAGCGCTGGCTCGGAAACTGCTTCCGGGGTGAGGTACTGCGCTTGCGCATCCCCACTTTTCCTCTTCAGCTGCAGCAAGGGCTCAGGGCTGCAGGTGAGCTGTGCACCCATCCCATCAAGGAAACTTTCCTTGCAATGGCATGAAAATAAACGGGTCTTTGCTGAGCATGCGCCCTCTCCTTCAATCTCTCAATCTCCACATCAAGAAAAAAATTCAGAGGACCTGGGGAAGGAGGGATGGAGGCTGCCCTCCCAGAGCTCTTTCCTGTCCTGATGCTGGGAATTTCCTGAATTTCTGCCTTCCCGGGGCCCTAAATATCGCACATATTTTACCTTCTACCTTGCCGTAAGGGGGGTGTGGTGATCGGTAAGGTTCAACCCGACTTCCTTCAAAAATGGCTTTCATCCCTGCTTAGCTCAGATGTAGGCAGTTGTTTCATTTTTGTGTGAAAATGCTGTGTGTATATTTGTCTATAGATCTCTTAGTGAGTGGACCAGACCTTCGAGGTTTGGGGAAAGGAGAAGGCAGGGATTTGCCCTTCAGTTCTGTGTGCCGAGCAGTAAATCATTTTTGCTGCATTGCGTCCAGGATG